GTAGTAAGTTTGAAATTTATAAAAATTTAAAATTTAAATATTACAATTAAATTAAAATTTAATTATCAATTTAGAAACGCTGTACAAGTTATATTAGAGCCGAAATGCTAGATGGGGTGGATGTTAGTCAAATTCATGCCAGACTTTTTGACTTAACATCTAATTCTGATCATGAATTCACACCAATAATGGAAAATAATAGGACACAATATGTATGCAAAACATATCTATTTCGGTTCTTTACAGCTTTAGGTGATATTAAAAGTTATTTTTGTGATACATCAAAATGGACAGATAAAATATTATGGTTATCTGATCTGCAATTAACATCATATTATTATTGGCAAAATATTATTACTAATATTGAAAATGGCATTATAAATGCTGAAAAAATTATGAAAAATACAAAAAAAAATGATGATAATGATGATTAAATATGTCGTACATATAGTAATTAAATTCTATAGTTTTATAGTACATTTTAACTAAAATTTTCAATAATATAAAATTTTCGTCATACACTTTAAGTTTATTTTTGCTGATGTCATACATTTTAATCAAATTTGGCTGTACACTTTGCCTATTTTTCAGACAAAGTTCATTATGTAAAAATTTTTCATATTTAGGGGGCCCTCTTGAGGCTGAGAATGCAGAGCTTAGAAGGAGAATACTGAGATCCGTGATCTTAGAATCAGATGCTGAAATAGCTGAACTTAAGCGTAGGAATACGAAGACTCTAAGATCGAATGCAGAATATAATGAGAGGCGTGATGCTGAAAATGCCAAACTCAGGGTCAGAATTGAGAAGATGGAATCTGAATTTGAAGATAGAATCACGAAAGTGGAACAGAAGCAGACTTTGCAAAGTGCCTTAATGGTAAATGATAATTCTTCTAATAACAATTCATCTAATTTCAATTTGGTTGCAGTACCAGAGGCGATAATGGTACCTACAAACTCTGCAAAGCGCCTTAACGGTAAAGCGTTGAAAGAGAAAGAGATGGATAATTTCTTGCTTGAGGCTGATAAGAAAATCGTTAGTGATAAAATAAGACAATGCAATAAGGAGAAGAAACTTAAAAAAGCAAAGCAGGCATCTCTCAACTAAGATCAAGAATCTGGTACTTGCGATCCCAAAGGGATCATACTAGAAGTGACAAATCCTGTAACTAAAATTTCAGCCGGAGCGCCCCTGCCGAAAAATAGTCATAGGAAAAAAGGTGCAAAAAATATTTCTCAAATGATATCTGATGGTATTCAAAATGATTCTCAGTCTCAAAAATGTATTCTTGGTTTTTCTAATGATATATTATTATAATAAAGCCAAATTTCTTCTATAATACTACTGCTTACTTTAGCTCAATTATTCGATAAAGCGACTGATGCTGAATATAGTGCAATTCATGCAAATCAGAAAGAAATTTTGTGCTGGTATTACTATGGAAAGAAATTTATAACTCAAGTTAACGAAGTTACCAAAGGTAACAAAATTGGTGAAAAAAAAGTGAAAGGAATTATTTATGATAAAATGTTAGAGGATCTTTCCATGTTGTGAAAGTAACGATCTGAAGAAACGGGTTTACAACTTCCAGAAATCACATGTAAATACTTGCAAGGGAAAACTCAGAAAGCTGTAAAGATATATAATTTATTTGAAAAGATAGGTGTGGACAAAATTAAGTATATTATAACATATATTGCAAATGCTATTTCAGAGTTGACTAATGATAAACTTCAAGAGATCATGGAGGCCTCAGAGAGGCGGGATAATTGTTCACTCTGTGAACATCCAAAGGAATTGCATCACATGTCACCAAAAGATGAGTCTTCGATTCCTGAAATTTCAGAAAAAATCTTGCCTGAAGTAAATACATCAACTACACCCATGCCAGCTGAGGACATCTCTACGAAGCGCCTTAACGATAATTCTTTAGATGATTTCTTTAAAATCGGTTCAGTAGCTATGAGTATATCATCTGTGTCTCAGATAATATCATCTAAGAAATCCAGATTTCTAATTTCTATTTTATCTGATGATTTAGAAGAAAAACGAAAACATATAATTGGGTTAGTGCTGGAGCAATTTCCTTATCTATCTTTAGAGTATAGTGAGAGTTATGGTGATAGATATGAGTTTAATAGTTCAGTACCTTGTCCTATATATAATAAAGACTATAAAGAAGAAAGTATATAGAATAATAAAAAAGGTGAATAGGGTGATGGTGAATATTATGGAGAACGAGCTTATTACTTTGAATGCAGGAAAGCTCTTAATCATGAAATCCCAATAGTATCTGTAAAAGCATAGCATAGACGAAAACTTCGTTATGTGAATCGATCACCTGAAATGCGCTGGTAGAATTATTGCCGAAAGAATAAGGGTTGTGTGATGTAAGATTTTCTCATATAAGCCACTTTATTTGTATTTTTTTCTAACATTAAATCATATCTTCTGAAGGGTTCCAGCATACTCACGACATATCGCAGTGTGAAGAAATGTTGGCGATAAAAAAATACTGAAGACGAATCTCCAAACAAGACATTGCGCAATTAAGGTGAGAATACTTATTTCGCTCAAATGTGGGAGTATATTTACAAAGAAGCATCTTCAGAGCTGTAAACTAATACCTAGCTAATATCTTTTCATTTCAGGGTTTGGAGGATCTCTTAAGCATCATGAAGGCATAAATGAAATGGATTATCGAATAATATTGAAAAGGAGCCGGCGATGAAAAAACAGAAGGTTCAAGGGTATTTCAAAAATAATCAGTCGTAAAGCACTTCGCATGTATTTTAGTCTGCAGATATTAGTATAGACGTCATGTATCCAGCATCATGTAATTTATTTTTAGCAGTCCCAGGACCAGGCTCAATGTATTGCAAATAAAAAACGTTTAGAATACTAGGTGACCCGCGAAATATAGTCAATTATTTTTCTCATATGGGAGGTGATTGGTGTGATTCCTTTGGAATCTACATACTAATTTTTTATTTCTTGAGAGTATGCATATTAATACAGGGTAATTTAAAAAATCTGGATCAGCTAATTATTAGGCAATATGATTTCCAGTGAAGATCCAGGGATTTTCATGTTTTGCGACGATTGTAGCTCTTAACTGCAGAAGGGTCTTAATTATAAAAACTGGGTGTATTGGAGAAGAACAGTTTCTAGTAAGAAAAAAAAATCAAATCAAATAACTCTCGCGCATTTACAATCAAAATAAAATTCTGCGCATACTCTCAAAAACTTTAACAATCTCACTTAAACCAATTTCTCATCTATCTCCGCAAAATGCTTTCAAACTCTGATATATTTTTGATCGTATTCTTCAGTATTATAATTATAATCCATGAGATGCTAACCCAAGGTGTCATAACAATAGAGATGCTCTAAGACGTTTTTTCAGGGAATGCCATAATATATATAATCTTTGTGGTGGTGATTATATTTTACGCAAATATCTATCTCTAGCTTTGGCAAAATCACAAGTCGTCAAATTCGAAAAATCAATATTGGTGTTAAATAATGAAATACAAAAAATGAAAGGAGAGGCGGAATGGAATCGTATATCACAAGGTAATAAATATTCAGATCTTCTGGTTATATTTTTGCATATATTCTCAAAGGTAAAGAGGTACTAACTTTTTATTATCTATCATTAGGTTCGTCTCGATTCTCTTCCAGTCGTGTATCTACCAGTCAATATTCAGAATATCCTGATGAAGTCCAAACTTTATGGGTGGAATTCACAGCCCTATTTAATCGAAGAAGAAGAAAGGAGGGCGTTCACACACACAATTATACAATGTAATTTCTCAAGAAATTCTTCTAAGCTCAGCGACTTTAGCGAGTTTCTACCGCCATCAAAAAACTCTGAGGACTACTTCCTTGAATAAAATCGAAGAATGGGTTGAAAGAGAAGGAAGAAGAGATTCTAGTAGTAGTAGTAGCAGTAATAATAGCGATAATGGTGGCAATTAGTGGAGCCAAAGAATAGGAGCAGTCATTGTCTTTCGAGACGGGCTTTGGGTCTGACTGCAAGTATTCTAATATATTGAACTAATTGCCTAATGCAACTATATGATATTTAGAACGCATTCTTCCATGCAACCCCACGAAAATTTTATTTTTATTATATCAAAATGTGTTTTATTTTTAGATGATACTATAATAAAATATTTCATTCGCTTTACAATCTATTGCATTACACATACAGACATGAAAAAATACAAAATTTACTAAACTAACATAGCTATTTACAGATATGAAAAAAATCCCGCTTTAATATAGAATAGCAAAGTAAAATAAATGATCTTTTTTGTTATTAAAAAAAATCACTCTTGGTGGTCCGGCTTATTGTAATTAATAAAAATATTAATTGTTTCAGCACTTTGAGAGAATGAGGGCATCACAGGTCTCGAACCAGAAGAAGATATCATTGGATGTGATATATTAGAAGGAATTGCTCGAGGTATTTTTGAAACAGATCCAGTTCTTGAAGCAGTACTGGATCCCAAGGCAGATGATGACATTGGTTTGGAGATCCTTGATGATTGTGATCTATTCAGTATATTAGTTGATGATTCTTAAGTTACGTTGTGTTCTTAGAAACAATAAATATTTTAGGGAGAATATCCTGGATTTACCAAAGTAAATACGAATATCAGAAAAACAAATACCAGGTTCTTTCCAAAATTCTGTAGAGAACTCTTCATAATATTGTTCTCTAATAAAACTTCTCTTCTTCTTTTTAGTTATTATAGTAATTGGTAGACCTCCCGCTTCTGCCCCAAATCTCTCATTAGTTAATAGTTGGTTTCTTAAGAGACTCTTAGCTTCTGCCTTAGCTTTCTTATAGGCCAGGGTCGTCTATATTTACCAAAAATATCAGATCAGAGTCGGGTTAAGTATAAGCAAAGTGTCTTTAACTGCTTGATTATCATATTACTTACATAGTATGCTCAGGTTAAGGCTAAGAATTTTTTATTACAATCTTCTCTGGTGAAGTAATTAGTATTATTTGTTCGATTAATATCCTCCGTAATCCTCTCCTAGAAGTTTCTCTTATCATATTTCAGGGTTTAGTAATACTCTTCATTACCATCTCTACGTTCATCAATCAATATACGGGTTTGATTCTCACTCCACTGTGCAGACATTATTACGTTCAAAAAAATCTTTATTGGAAAGTTTTATAAAAAGCAAAGAAGAAGTGAGGTAACAGGGGCAAACCAGCTCTCCTGCTTTTATGTATCATGATCTATGAGCTGGGAATAAATTTGCTAGTCCTTTTCGTGTATAGTCAGCGCTTTAATTTTCATAGTGATTAATATAATGATTAATTAAAAAATAAGGGTGGCTTAGTTACATGAATTCAAAGATCTGATTAGCCGATCATCTTATGATTTAAGTTGCGAAAAGGTTGCGAAGAAG